GAATGAGGCACCTAAAAATTCTATACCGCAGATCCAGGCCTGGATTCCATGAAGGAACAACACCCAAACCCAAGAGGGCAGCTGTTGCGGCATCCAGTTTATCTTAAGGATTTCAACGATTAGTCAGGCAATAAACGTTCTCGGTTAAAAAAAAAAAAAAAAAGTCTACCTGTTCATTTATCATTATGAATCAAAAACCACACCAAGGCACATCACTATGAATGTCCGAACACTGGTGACAAAGAAAAAAACCCTAAAATCTTAAAGGAATGTAAGGATTAGGGAACAAAATGGCCTTGAATCTGTCTGGAAGTTAAGAGACAATGGACTAATGCTTCAAATACTGAACAAACTAATGCTGCTATTGGTTATCTATGTACTAAAAATAGAAGCTAACACAATCATTTAAGAGATATTAAAAGTATAGAAATAAGAAAAGTAGAAATATAGCTATTATTATTTGCAGAAAATAGGACTATATTTTCGAGAAACCCAAGAAAATCTACTGAGAAACCAAACAATAAAGTACCAATATATAAAATTTACAGAAATCAGTAATTTCCATGTACACCAATAAACAAGCAGTAAGAAGACAGCATGAGGGAAGAGACCCCGTAACACCATCAAGACAAATACCTAAGGATAAACTCAGTATGTTGTAATTATTGATATATTATGAACAATGTAAATACGACTGAAGAATATGAAAGTAGGCATTAACAAAAAGAATGATGTACCGTAGTAATCTTGAAGATGATGGCTAAATGTCTAAAACCACACATGCTCCTCAAAGTTTACTGATAAACATAACATATTTTCCCTGTGAAAATACCATTGGGTTTACTGACTCTCTTTAAACATGATTAAATAATTTTTACAAAAAATAAACAGCATTAGGAAAAACAACATGCAATGAAATGGAGTCAGAACACTTAACACTACTATCATAGATTTAAAAATTTCCATTGTTAAGGAGCCAGCATATGAAGTAGCGATTATGTCGCTGGACTCCTACATGGCTGACCATGGTTCCAAATATGGTGGCTTGAAAATCACACCACAGGGGACCAGCAAATGGCATAGCAGTTATGTTGCTGGACTCCCAGGTGGCTGACTATGGTTCAAGTCCCAGACCCAATGGCTTGAAACATGCCGGGCACGTGTGCATGCATGCCCCAAATCCCAGCAGGAGTGGAGGAGCATGGACTGCCATACAGCCATTCCCCCGGCGGGCTGACTTTTCACTTTTCCTTTCACTGTCTCTGTCTCTCTCTCTCCTGTGAGCACACATGTTGTAAGGCAAAGAGCTCTTTAGAACAAACTTCCATCATTAAAATAATGTGGGAGAGGTGCTGCTTCCCATTAGTAAGGAAAAGCTAGACCATTCAAGAAACAGTGTTTGGGGATCAGCAGTTAGAGTAATGGCTATGTCACTGGACTCCCATGTAGCCGACCATGGTTCGAGTCCCGAACCCGGTAGCTTAAACTCACGCTGGGGGCATATGTGTGCGTGTGTGCCCAGGATCCTGAGAGAAGAATGGAGGAGAAGGGATTGTGGCATGGCCATTCCCCTGGGGGGTGATTTCTCTCTTCCTGTCTCTCTGTCTCTGTCTTTCTGGCGAGCGCACGCACCCTATAGCAAAAACCTCTCCCAAAAAAGAAAAGGAAAAAATCAAGAAACAGCATTTGGACTACTCGATAGTCTTTGTGGGAGGGGAGCTGGCATTAAGACCCTGTTGGGGTGCTGGCTTGCCTCTTTGTCTCTGTTCTCACTGTCTCTAATGTAGGAAATCTTTAAAAAACATTTTGGAGGAAAATAAAAATGTTTAGATAGGACTATATATCTTTAAAAAAAAAATATTGGGATCAGCAGATGGCATAATGGTTATAGTGTTGGACTCGCACATAGTCAACTGCGGTTCAAGTCCCAGACCCAGCAGCTTAAAACTCACACTGGGCAAATAGGCATACATGCCTCAAACCCCAAGAGATGGAGAAGAAGAGATTATGGTGGGCCATCACCCCCCTCGGGGGGGTGTTGATTCTCTCTTTCTGTCTCTCTAGCAAGCACGTGCATATTATAGCCAAAATCTCTCTCTAAAAATAATTATATATAATTTCTCAATATATGAACATTTTCAATATGGAAAAATAAAATCAAACATTTGAGGAAAAAACATGAGATAATTCCTTCATAATCTTGAAAAAGACCTTTCTTATACTATTACTCAAAATCCACAAGCATAAATGTTTGATCAACTAGACTATGCATATATAAATGTCTACAGAGATTAAATAAGAATGACCAGCTTAAAAAAACAAATCACAGGGTTAGCCCCATGGCCTAGTGTTTAAAGCAGTTGATTCCATATGGCAGACCAAAGTTTGAACTCCATACTTGGCAGCTTGGGAAATGCTAGGTGAATGTGTAAGTGTGCCCCAAATCCTGAAAAGATGGAGGTATGGGGGGAGAAGGGACTGCAGTGTGACCATTCTTTATTGAGCTTGCTTTCTCTCCTCTGGTGAGCATGAGTGTCCTTAAGCAAAAGAAAAAATAAAGGACTGAAAAAGACCCACCAATAAGGAAACTAAATACAAACTATGGTATATTCATAGGATGGATTAATAGCTGGCCATACA